GAAGACGAAGAGAGAGGGGGAGGGAGAGAGATAAAGTGTACATTTAATTATAATTAAGAGATTCATTAGCATTAATAAGCCACAAAAAAAGATAACAGTTACATTTACGTATAACTGAAATATTTTTAACTTGTTTAGGTAATTTTATAAATAAGAATATAAGGAAGGTATAAATGCAATAAAAATCATTACTTTAAGTAAGGAGTGCAAATTCCTCTTTTCTTTTCTCCTTTGATAAGTGGGCTAAGTATGAGGTTATTTGGGCCCACCAAATATCTCACATCTCCTGATTTTGTCTTACACCAAGTTTCCTCCAATTCAATAAATAATGCTTGCTTAAGTTTCTTTTTGCCCTCATTAAGTTATTGGCCCAAATTAACTCCACGATTAGCACACATGGGCCTAAATTCGAATGATATGGGACACCCTCTTATTCTGCTGGTTGAAATTTTGTTTATTGTCACGTCGCCCACAAAAATACTTCAATATCCTAAAAATAAGACATAAAAAAATCATAGCATTTGTATTCATCTCATAAAGAAATAAGTCGAAAAGCATATAAGTGTGACCAAATTAAGCATATAAAAATACGCTAATAAATATATCAAATTACACACTTTTTCCTACCAATCATTTTTAAACATTTTTAAAATGCCATATAAAATTGAGGTATTTTTTGAACAAGTATTATAGATAATTTGAAATGCCTTAAACAGCTTTATCAAAAATAATATATATTTCAGTATATTTATTTACCATATTAATAACTTGAGAAATTACCTGGAACTTAATCTCTACTCCATAATAATTTATTTAAAATTAATGTACAATGCCCAATTTTCATGATGATGGATAATTTTATTTTACATTAACGTAAAGTAAACACATAACCCAACATTTATTACAATAAACTAGTACGTATTCCGTGGATGCATAGACTGTATTTATTTTCGAAAAATTTATAACTGAAGGCTATTAATCAATAATACATAGAATTTGTTAGGTATTCGTAAAATGAGCATCATGAAAAAAATCATACATTATTAAAAAACTCTTCGTTTTTCAATTGAAAAAATTATTTTTCACTTTGTAACCGTAAATCGATATGTACCAAGTTTGCTCTTCCCTTGATAATTGTGAATTGTATAAACACTTCATTCCTTCATTTTTATGTTGATTTTCGGAATGTTACACCATGAAATAAAACTATTGTGAAAATATGTAATATTGTGATTGACAGTAAATATATGATTATCTTGTGAAGTTTAATTTTATATCGAGTATAAAGAAAATTATTACCTTAAAGTTAAAGTTTGGATTTTGAGTATATCTTTTTTTTTTTTTGTCAATGATTCTAATTTTTTATGCTAAATTCATTCCAAAAATTGAGAATAATTTTGTTTGGTTATGTTGTAACAGAGATTTGGAATTTTGGTTGTATCTTTTGTAAAATATATTTATAAAAATAACTACGTTTAGAAAAAAAACAACAACGATGTTTTCTCATTTGTAGATAAAAAGTAACTAAATGAATTGGAGGACATGTAAATCACAATTTTTAAATAAAAAATTTGTTTCAATTCTCTATAATTGCTCAATCAAGTCTATATATTTAAACTAAGGATTTCAAAAATTTCTATATACCCCCATATTTGTTTCCATAAAACTAAATCATCCTAAATTTAAATTCAACTAATAAAGGTAATAACCATAAATATTTGACTAAAAAGATTATGTACATTAATTACATTTTTTTGTTAATTTACTACTTTTATACAGTAATTAATGAAATTGACGAAAAGTGTTTCTAAAAGTGAATTATGTTAATCCTTATTATATATTAAAAGATTTGGTTATAAAAGAATGTAAGTTTATTGAAACAAAGTTTAGTTGTCTAACCCTATTCAGCATTTGAAAAA